TTATTATAGAAATTTGTATTTAACCGATTTAATTCTAACATTAGTATTAGAAATATATACAAAAATGTTACACATATCATATCCTAACTCTGAATTATATACATAATTTATTATGTGATAAATTGTATAAAGTTATATTATAATTGACATAGAACTATATAGTTTATGATGACAAAAAAAAGATGACAAAAAAGAAATACATAGTTTACATATACCTAATCTTTCTTTTGACAGCTATAGTTTTATCTAATCATTAGATTAAACTTATATGTGTTTCCTCCACAAAGCTTATCGTCGTCGTAGCTTGCGTAAAAATACACCCTTAGCATTGAAAAAGGAGATTATGTAATTCTATGTGTTTTTGCGCGATCTCTGATTTTGTGAATCTTATGACTACTAATTTGGATTGGAATTTATTATGATGGTTAAATCATAACTGGGTAAGTGTATAGATTTCTGGTTCTACTATCGTTCTCGGAGCTTCTGGAAAGATATGGATAATTACTCCTTTCTGTTTTTCTTTTTGTTAGCGAGTTTATATAAAGAATCTATAAATCCTCCATATATTAATTTTGGAATATTAGAACCTTTAAGTGTAACCACATATCATCATTAAGATGATTCTCAGAATCCTTAGAGAAAATAGATTGGTCCATCTAAATATAAATTATATTTTTTATTAAATTAACTATTAAATTGATTAGTATTGCATAAAACAATATTCTTCATTCTTTCCTTCAATAAAATCTACGGAATTTCCTAATATAATTAGTATATATATGGCTATTAATGATTTTGAAGAATAAAAATTTGAGAGTAGTTTTTATATCCTCCATCCTTTTGTTTAATTTATATTATTAAAAAATTAAACAATCATATTAACCATATAGTAAAAAAATCTAGATTTTTTTTCTTATCTGTTATATTTTGAATTTTTTAAAATGGCTACAAATTACTAAAACTGTTAAAACTATACAGTAAAAAATTTATGAACAAATGTTTTATTTTATTGTTATAAAAATATACAAATAATTATAAAATCATATGAATATGAATTTCATTTAATATACATATATTCAGATTGAATACATACTAGAATATTGTTTAACTTAAACTATATATCATATAAAATACATATATACTTTGTTATATCATATAAAACCAAACAAACATTAATAAAATGACTGATTTGATTTATTTACTTTGATTTATGTCCTTATTCCTGTTTAACTATGTACATAATCTTCTCTCAATTGATCGAAGTTCATGTTTTCCAAGAAAGCTTGCGCCAAATTAAAACAATGACAAAAAAATATGAGTTAATAGAAACGCAATCGTAAGCACAAATAATGTAGATTTAAACAAGAAATCATATGTGTAGAGTCAAAGAAAGTTTGAGATCAACCAACACTCTAATTCCCTTTTCGATTGCAAGTCATCACTTTTAATATTTGTCATTTCTGTATCTGGTAAAAGAGTGGATCAGAAAAGAAATTTTCTTATGTATTGTTCAGTCCAAACATTTAATTAATTGGCTTTTATGAAACCAGTTTATCAACACCTTGGTCCGATATAGAGTATTAGTCCTGCGAGTTCGGTTTACCAAAATTTTGAAAATCATTTCTGAAATTAACTAAATTAAATTTTGGTTCGGTTTGGTTATCGGTTATTTTTGGTTTCAGTTTATTTTTGAAAATAACTGATTATTTTGGTTTTTCATTACTTTCGGTATATATTTTTAAAATATCAGATTTTTTTGTTTAAATTTGGTTATCCTCCTATACATTAAAAGAGAAGTCACTTGGACACGTGTCAATCATACATGCCTTCTCAGAGAAATTCTGAAAATCTGATTGGTTGATTTATTTTAATTTTCTTTTAATTTATTTTTTGTTTGGCGTGCAAGTGTTAGGATTTATATATGAGAATCGTATCTCTAAAATTTAATGTATAAGTTATTTACTTTCCTTACCTTATATTCCATAACTTGCGTGAGAAGTTGGAAATTCAATGTTAAATATGTCAATCTTATACCACTAGGAAAGCTTGACAATATATATACAATGTCCTAATGTCTGTAGACCGAACGCAAGTTATAAAACAGTTATGGCAATGGAAATCAGCCAACTCAAGGCTCGTGACAGAGCAAGACACGACAGATTGTTACAGAGTCTCGACGGAGTTATAGATTTCCAAGTCGACGGAACTTTCGATCCTTTTGTTAAGGGTTTTATTGCAATTTACTCAAATCTATAATATTAATAAAAGATGTTGTTCGGTTAATACCAGAGAGAAGCGTGAGGTATGTCGGCGAAGGAGATCGCTGTCGGGAGCAGTTCAATCAACGGTGGAGATCCTTGTCCGATTTGCCTTGGACCCATACTCCAAGAATCATATCTTGATACTTGTTTCCTTAAGCTTCTCTCTCTCTTAATCTGGTTAAGCTCTTTGTGTATGTATCTGTGAGATAGGTTTATGGTTTAGGGAATAGCTAATAGCTTTTTTCTTTTGAAACACTAAAATAGCTAATAGCTTTATTGCAAGTTTGAGTATGCAAATAGATTGAAAATAATGTTCTTTTTGTCTTTTTTGATATGAGAAGAGTTCACAATGACGGGTTCTGAGACTGATCCTGGGATTATTAGAAGATCTATCAGAGATGTGTTTGAAAGAATATATACAAACGGTAGTGATCTGTGACGTTTTACAAAAAAAAAAAGAGTACAGCTTTTAAAGTTTTAATTGGTGTGTTTGATGATCTTTAGATATCGGACCGTGAGTTTCTCATCCGGGTTTCGTATATGGAGATTTATAATGAAGAAATTAATGATCTTTTAGCTGTTGAGAATCAGAGACTGCAGATTCATGAGCATTTGGAGGTTGGTTTTGATTGAGCATATATATACATCTTTTAGTTTTGATTGATTTAACTCGCTTGTTTGTCTTTTATGTGCAGCGTGGAGTGTTTGTTGCTGGTCTTAAGGAAGAGATTGTTAGTGACGCTGAACAGATTCTAAAGCTTTTAGATTCTGGAGAAGGTTTTTAAGCCAAAGCTAAACTAAGAAGTATTTTGATTATGCATAATGTGTATTTGACATGGTCTTCTTTTAATTAACAGTTAATAGGCACTTTGGTGAGACAAACATAAATGTTCACAGTAGCAGGTCTCATACCATCTTCAGAATGGTAAGGGATTTCAAAGCTATGAACGGAAACTTCTACTGTTTTGTAAGTGGTTATTCTGATCTGATCTTTCTGGTGGGATAGGTGATTGAGAGCAGGGGAAAAGAAAACTCTTCTACGGATGCTATCCGTGTCTCAGTCTTCGTGAGTGATAATTTTCTCTTCTTGAGGAAGCTACATTATGTAGAAAGGTAATTGAGTGATAAGTCTCTTACTGGTGTTCTTTTAATGGAATTTAGAATTTGGTTGACTTGGCTGGATCCGAGCGTATTGCTAAAACTGGTGCTGGTGGAGTGCGCTTGACAGAAGGGAAGTACATTAATAAGAGCTTAATGATTCTTGGTAATGTTATCAATAAGCTAAGTGAAAGTTCAAAGCTAAGGTACTCTCTTACCCTTTCATATAGCTACAAGTAACAACGATACCGCTTAAGATCATTTCTTACATTCTTCTTGATTATAGGCCACATATTCCGTACCGTGACAGTAAGCTCACTCGAATTCTTCAGCCGGCGCTTGGTGGTAATGCGAAGACTTGCATTATATGCACTATCGCACCCGAAGAGGTAAAAGAAGTTTTCTTTTTGTCAGGTTTTGCACTTTCCTGGCTTTTGTTAATCATCCACATACAAGCTTACTCAATCAACTTATCAAATTTGCATGCTCATGTGTAGCATCATATTGAGGAATCAAAAGGAACTCTCCAATTTGCAAGCAGGGCCAAACGCATCACCAACTGTGCTCAAGTCAATGAGGTCAGCATGTAAATGGGCGCAAGATTCTTAGGAGAGATTTAACTCACTTATATCTATGTGTCCTGTTGGCTGGTTTTCTTCTTTATTCGTCTGACATTTTTTTAACGCTTCAGATCTTGACTGATGCTGCTTTGTTGAAACGCCAAAAATCAGAGATAGAAGAGCTACGTATGAAGCTCGAGGTATCATCAATAATTTGTTTCAAAATACATTTAGGATTGTGGGCTATACTAACATCACTAAATTTTCTAGGGATCCCATGCTGAAGTGTTGGAACAAGAGATACTAAAGTTAAGCAATCAGATGCTTAAGGTAGCTTTTTGCGCTTTCTCATGTGTATGTATTCGATAGAACATTGAGCAAGCACAAAATACTATACAACGACCTTTTTGTTTGATTTCCAGTATGAGCTAGAAAGTGAAAGGCTAAAGACACAACTGGAAGAAGAGAGAAGAAAACAGAAGGAGCAGGAGCAATGCATCAAGGATCAACAATTGAAAATTGAGAACTTAAACAATCTTGTCACTAATTCAGACTTTAAGACGAACAAATCAGAGGTACAGATGTATGCATTGGTTTAAACAGATCGTCTGCATGAATGATCCTCAACCATTACACCCTAACATTTTTCTGAAGTAAACACAATCCTTGATTTTGTTATAGAAGTTAGTATTGCTATTAAGCTAATGTGTTAGAGTTATGTTCTCTGGTAATGTAAAGTTCTTGTCAAGGTAACATCTTTATTGGCATGACTTTGTTAGTTTAAGAAGGAAGCCAGATGGGCGATGCAATGTCAGTGATAGCAGCGATGTTCTTGGGACTCCTTTCTTTAAATCAGCTGAACGTTCCTTTGTGGTTGCTCGGTCAAATTATTCAGGACTGTCTGATTTTAGTCCGATGGTTGATTCACTAGGGGACGTGGCCGACGAAGACACTTGGACAAAACTAAACAAGGGTTTTGTCGCAGACCTTGATCAACTCCAGTTTACACCTGCATATAAAATTCATATGCAGACTATATATTTCTTTTTTGTCATCTTTTTTTTTTGTCATCATAAACTATATAGTTCTATGTCAATTATAATATAACTTTATACAATTTATCACATAATAAATTATGTATATAATTCAGAGTTAGAATATGATATGTGTAACATTTTTTGTATATATTTCTAATACTAATGTTAGAATTAAATCGGTTAAATACAAATTTCTAAATTAAATATAAGTGATAAAACATAATTATTATATATTTCTATAGATTTAGAATATATCAAAATCAAAACTATTTATTATTCTTTAATTTTATAACCATATTATGGTATTAGGAAAGATATATCTTCTTGGTAAAGGCTTTTAATTTGTTAATTTGTTTATTAATAACTTGCTTTATTTTATGGTTACCTTATTTTGACATCAGTTACTTGTCTTATGGTATGTTAATTATTGCAAACTAGGTGATTTTCCCAAATATTTATGTCCGTGCTCATGCACGGACATAAATATTTATAAAACAAATATATTATAATAATTGATTGATATTTACTTTAAATTTTAAATTAATTTATAATTTGTAAGTATAATTTATATTAATATTATATTAATTTAATTATATATATAATTTTAGATATATTATATTTGTCAGTTTTATCGTCTTTACGGCTGAGTTAGTTATCATATGGATATATTAGCTTCTATCTATTTTTCTAAATTCAACTATAATTTTTTTTTATTGTAAATATATTATTTTTTTGATTAATTGTCTTATTTACATTTATGCCGGTTGTTATCTTAGAAATACAAGTATATCTTATAAGATTATGTATAACTTAAAACTTTTTGTGCTTAGAAAGAAAAATAAATAAAAACTAAACTGTGTGATTTTAAATTACATACATAAGTAAATAATAAATTTTTGGAAGCTTATGAACACATATCAATATTTACAATATTTAGATTGATTGGATGGTAAACTGAAATTTATTTTAAATATTTTAAAGATAAGGATTCTGATTTGCTTAAGTATTTTGATTATGGTTATATTAAGTTCCACAAACATAAAACATAAAATTAAAAATCAAAAGAGTTATTAAGAAAACATATAATTTTAACTATTAAAATATAATACATCTACTTTGTTAAATTATATAGTGTTATGATATTTTAAAATAATTTTAGTTATTTGATCAAAAAAATGTTTATGATTAAAATTTATTTTTAGTTTTGTTTTTAATATCTCTTAAAATATGCAGTAAAAATGTTAATGTTTTTGAGAAATTATATTATATAAGTAAAATAGAATTTATATTTTTGATGTAATTGTAAGATATTATAGTCAAATAAATATACTAAAACTTATAAAAATATTTCAAGAATACTAATTATAAAAAATTGTTAATTAAATATATATATATCAGTTTATGTTACTTAATTATTTTATTTAATCATCTAATAAAATAGATAGATATATACAAAAAAATAATTACTTTGAAAATATATATTTATTGTTTAAAATTATTATTTTTAAATCAAAAAAATATTTTTTTTTCTAATATCAAGATTAGTTGTGTAAGCTTTTTTCATGGAATCACATTATATACAAATATTGTTTTTCATCTAAGAAGATATAGATATAATTAAAGTATTTTATTACTTGAAAGGTATATTTTATGTTATTTAAAAATATATATTAATGGGGGTATTACTATTTTGTGAACTTTCCTTTTTAATAAACTCGTATTATATACATATATTTTCGTTTTTAAATTTGTTTTAAAATTTTAGAAATATTTCCTTTTTATTATATATGTTATTTGGAAAAAGGTAAAAATGAAAAATAAATAAAAAATTAATAATAATCTTAAAATTTAACAATTGATTAAGGGTATCTATGTAATCAACCATCGTGAGAGTTAACGTGAGCGCGACATGTAGGAAACTGACTTCTCAAATAATATTATAGAGATTTATGACAGTCAATTTTTAATATATTTCTTTAATTGCTTCATGTTTATTAAAAGGAAACAAATATTACAAGAACCATAAGATTTTATATATCTCAAGAAATGTCTTTACAAGAATTTTTATAACAAATATTTCAGGAACCATAAGACTTAATGATAAAATATGATTATTAATTCATAATTATTCTTTAATTTGATATATTCTGAATTTTTTATTATATATACTTCTAAACGAAATAATCTTTTTAGGAAGTATTTTTTTAAATATACATTTAATTGACAAATTTAAAAGTTAATTTTTTGTGAAAATATATGTCTATTAAGTAAATATCTTGTTCTTTTATGATGTCATTTATTAGTAACTATATACATGTGATATTGCATTAAATGTGTATGTTCTTTATTTCCTAATTAGTTAATTCGGAAATATGATGATTACCTTAATTTGCTATCAATTACTTGCACAAATTTATATGATAATGGTGATTTGAGTTAGAAAAGCCCAAAACTATTATCCATTTAGAAAACCACAAATATAATGGTGATTTGAGATTTAGAAAAGCCAAAACTATTATCTTAATTATATTTATATATATATGGATCTTAAAAATATGGATCTTAAAAATGTAATTTACTATATATATATATATACATTTGTTTGTTTTTTTCTATTAACAGATAAATAACACAATGAAAGATCGTTTGTAGTTGATTACAAACCATTTTTCAGTTTGTTGCAATAGTGATATGCAAATTAAATATTATTTTCGTCTCGATAAAATTTATAAATCTATTAAATTATTTTATATTGTATAATTGCTAAAAAAAATTGACAATTTTTTTACAGATTTATATGAGATTTTTTTAATTCATAATTGTTCTTCTTATTTTATATTTCTTATATATTTAAATTTTTATCACATTTTCTATGGGATTGTGATATCTATGAGATTTTTATCCCATTTTTTAATATGTCACTGTCTCCTGTATATTTTTCTTACATTTGTTTTTTTTAATAGTTAACTTTTATTAAAAACATACTAATGATATTAATTTTTTTTTTTACTTTAGTTAACTTTCATTTTTTTTATTCTTATATACTTTTGTGACTTTTTTAGTTTTTGTTTCAGTTTAATATTGAATTTAGTTCACATACTTTATATGTATATATTTTAAAACATAATTTTTCTTTTAAAAAATTAAGCGACAAAGAGCCTAATTAAACCGATCCAAAAATAAACCGAACTAAATATAAATTGAACTGGACATAAACCACACCGAACCAGACTAAATAAGGTTTATTTCAGTTGAAAAAAATATATTAAAACCGAACTAAACAGACTAAACCGAAAAAATAATGATTTGCCCACCCTTACTGTATCCTAGAGATTTCCACAAATCTTGTCTCAGCATTGAAACTCTCACTTGTTCCACTAACTCCCACATTTGAACTCAATAGATACTCCTATCTCAGCATTATACTATATTTTTATACCCGCACAGGGTGCGGGTGGATCACCTAGTTTCTATTAGTTTAGATTATTTTTGTTTTTTCAGTCAAATTTGATTTGGTTTTTTGGTTAGTTTCAGTTATTTTTGAATGTTTTTAAAAAAATAAAAAAACGAACCGAATCGAACTGATAACCAAATCAACTTTAAAACTCTACCGAACCAAACCTGACTCAAAACCAAAACCAAACCCAAAACCGATAATTTCGGTTCAGTTTGGTTCGGTTCAGAGAAAATCTACAGACCTACGAAGCTTCATATAGGTCGACAATAATCAACACCTTTTGAACTTATAATACGATGTAATTGTTTTTAAAAAAAAAACAAAACTAATATACAACAATTACTTAAAATTCACTCCGCGCGCATGCGCGAGGATTATCAATTAGTATATCTATATAATGGAATGTATCGGATATACATCCTTTAAATTACTGATTTGTTTTGTTTTTTTTAACAGATTGTATATTATATTGTTTTTGATTTATGGAATATAGGGATTATCTCAATAACATATCACCGGATATTTTGCCTAGTCCTAATATAAAATGTTAATATAAAGTACATGACACAAAAAAAAGGAGGGTTGACTTATGTTTTCTTTGGCGATGTTGTCAAGCAGCCGCCGCTACATACTCTCCTCTCTCCAGAGGAGGATGATGATGTCTTGTTCTTCTTCTTCACCAAAACCATATCCGCTTGGGAGGGATCATCCCGGGAAGCAACGGCCTGAGAAGCGCATCACGATTCTCCGTGGTCCATCAGCAATATCTTGTCGAGTTCAGTTCCTGATAGAAGATATTGGAGACCTTGACGTTGCAGCCAAGCACGCCCGGCGAGTTGCTGCGTGGAAGGAGAAGATGTCACCCGACAGTGCCAACAGAATCTGCAATGCGATCATAGGCGCCATGTGCGACGCAGGGCGGTCAGGAGACGCCATTGATCTCTTCGATTTCTTTTTCAACAAGTCAAAGATGAAACCAAAAATCTCTTGCTGCAATCTAATCATCAAATCCCACTGCGAGCAAGGCCGTCTCGACGACGCTCTAGGCCTCTACACTCACCTCTTGGAAAACACTCCTCGTCCCGACCACAAAACGTACGACCTCTTGACCAAAGCCCTGGTCGATGCCGGAAAGATAAACCAAGCTCTGGATCTCTTGTTGGAAGGAAGAAGGGTCCTGTTCAATTTCCTAGAGCCAGGCATGTACATGAACCTCGTCCGTGGCTACTTGGAACAAGGGAATCTCGACATGGCGTATCAGCTCCGGGACGACTTGACCACCTGTACCTTACGCAACAAAATCGCTGTACTCGACTCCGTGTTTGTGGAGCATTTGTTCAAGCAAGGCAAGGACGAGGAGGCTGTGGAGCTATACAGACGCTCAGTGATCAAGGATGGCTTCACAGCAGATGGAACTGTTGGTAATCCCTATCTTGAATTATTACTCAAGTACGGCCAGAAAAAACAAGCCTGGGCATTGTTCCAGTATATGCTTGACAATTACCAACCCTGCTTTGGGTTTAACCAAGATACCGTCAATATGATGGTGAACGAGTGTTTCGAGATGGGACGGTTCAGCGATGCGCTCGACCTTTTCAACAAGGCAAACGCAACGATCGACCACAGGCTTCCTGCTGGAGCATACAGGAACATTATTACAAAGCTGTGTCAAAACGGGAGGTTGTCCGATGCTGAGACTATGTTTAGTGGATTACTCAAAAAAAGACTCTACTATGTACCAGATGTTGAAACCTATAAAGCAATGATTCGTGCTTATGTTGAGTCTTCAAGGGTTGAGGATGCGGTTCTAACCGCTAACAAGATGATCGCTTCTAGACTCGACAGGGCCACTCATATGTTTTTCTAGTTTAGTTTGTTTTTTTTTTTTTTGGTTTCAAAAGAATCCCCTTTTTCGGCACGCTCTGCTACCGTTAAATAACGGTCTCTGTGTTTTCTTCTAATAGAGTATTTGCTATTCTGAAACAGTAAAAACATTCTCTATGACTCAGTAAAATAACCCGTGAAAGAAAAGGTCACGGCTAGGATAAACTTGTTCCAAACTTGGGAGATATAAGATGGCTTCTCTTAGCAGCATCTGAATCTGCTACAGCCAATGCATGTATTAGATCCACCCTTCTGTATTGCTTTAGTTTCATCAACGTGACTATTAGCAGTCAACATCCCATTGTTAGCTGCAATCAGGTTTACAAGACAAGAACAGGGCATGCATAAAGCCTGATGATAAGGAAGACATTGAGCTACTCATTAGAGCAGTATTGTTGATGGATCCAACTGATTGATACTCAATACAATGAAGAGGTGGATTCCCATACCAAGACAAGTTTCAATGAAAGAGATATTTACATGAAAGAGCAGTGCTTGAAACTTTCAGAGACTGCCTCCACAAGTACATGAAGATTGGATTCATGAAAGGTTAAGCTACTAACTACCACCACCACTTTTAGTTGTTATTTTGTGAGCTGAATTTTTTTATTACCCATTAAGCAGAGACAAATCATACACTCACAAACATTAATAGTGGAACACAAAGAGAGCTCTATCTCACTCCCACATAGCAACTTCCATGAACCCATCCTCCGTTGCACATCCTCTAAACATCCCATTACAGTTAAAACCACAAACCACCTCTCCTTTACTCGACACAGCTATAAGTCCAGCGAACCCTTCGTCAAGCCTCTCCTTGATGACGTAATCAACCGCTTCTTGTAGCCCAACTCCTTTGTACTCCATAACAGCCGACACGTCACGCGCCAGCGTCGACCTTATGATGGCTTCTCCTTCTCCTGTACACGACACTCCACAAAGCTCCGACGCGTACGTCCCGGCTCCTATCAGCGGCGAGTCTCCTATCCTTCCCATCATCTTGTTCATCAGACCTCCCGTTGATGTCCCCGCGGCGCACCGTCCTTCTCCGTCCACCACCACGCATCCTACCGTCTCCGGCGCGTAGATGCTGATCGGAAGTCCGTTCATCTGGAGTGGACTGTCCGTTACCGCGGCTCCGGCGCATCCTATCAGTGGGACCCGGTAATCAAACTGGAAATTAAACAAACAAACAAACAAGAAGATGTAAGAAAACGAACAATAAAACACTGACCACACGATGAAAGTCACGTGCGAATAAAAAAGTCACGTGCAAATAAATGAACGGTTAAGATTAAGTCAATGGTAACGTATATACCAAGATGGAGTTAGCTTCTTTGGCTAGCTTGAGCATCCCCACGTTGTCTTCCGTGACGAAGTAATCGTTCTCCACAGTTTCAACTCCCTAATAAACCAAACCAAATCGATTTCGTTTTTTAACGCGGGAATATTAAACCGAGCGGTTAAGAATTAAAAAAGAGGAGGGGTAAAAGAGTAAAAATACCTGTTTGCGGGCGAAATCCTCCGCGCCTGAGAAGGCAAGGTAAGAGTGGGGAGATTTGTCCATGACGAGACGAGCGAGAGATATCGGATTCTTAACGGTTGTGATCCCCGAAACGGCGCCGCATCGTCTCTTCGTACCGTCCATAATGCTAGCTTCCATCTCAACCGTTCCATTCTCTGTCAAAGCAGATCCACGGCCTGAGTTAAACAGAGGATCTGTCTCCAATTCTCTCACCTGTTTAAATCGTTATAACAAAAAAAATAAAATAACATAAAGCAATGAAGAAAACGTGAAATATAAATTGTGAGATAAAAAAGAGATACGTACGACGAGCTCAACGACGTCAATGGCGGAGACATTGGAACGTAAAGCTGCTATGCCGAGGTTAAGACAGCGAGTTAAAAGCTGTTTGGCCTGTTCTTGTTTTTCGACGGGAAGGTTAGGGTCGATTCCGGCGCCACCGTGTACTGCGATTGCCCATCTTCCCATTATTATTATTATTTCTTTTTTTTTGTTGACACAATGTGTCTCACACAGTTTGATTGATTAACCCGAGTTTGATGGGAGAAGGAAAGAGTCGCATTGGGTTCTTTATATAGGCTCTTACGAGGAAAGGTGGTTTGCATTTAAGGGAGTGGCGTCAGCACCTGCTCATTGCTTTTATCAAATTTACGTTTTAATTGTTATACTATTTCCCTCTGTTTCATAATAAACAATAAATGTCACTAACCTTTTTATTTTATTTCAAAATAATTGTAATTCTATAATCTCAATACAATTTTTTACATTAAATTTATTTTTTACCTTTTTGAAAACCAATAGTGTTTTATTTAAATATTTCTCATTTAACTAATCATATAGTAAATAAAGATATATTAGTTTATTATATAATTTTTTAAAATTTTCGTGAAAAGTGTCAAAATAACATTTATTTGGAAACAGAAGAAGTATTATGTATTTAATTGTTGCATCTGATATTTGATTTCTCACTTATTTTTACCTTTTCAAAAAGCAAAAACAAAAATAAAATATTTTGTAACTGTTTGTTTCCTTTTAAAAGTTATTTCTGTCAAACATTTCCTAGGTCACCACCATGATATCATTGGTAATTATTAACAAATTGTTTTCGTATATGAAAACTGTACAATTTTATTGATCATCATTGACATCTACGAAGATTAACGTTTTGTTTTGGTAACAAAAACGAAGATGAACGTTATTCAGCTAAAAGACTTATCATAGCTAGCTAGGTTCAGAATTTTTGTAACTAAAGCCAAAACAAAAGTAGTCCTCGGAACTTGAAAGTCTCAAGCTGGATTACACATAAGTTACTTTTATGACAGGCATGAAATAGACTGATATAGTTATTACGCATTTTTATATAGTCTCGTTTTCAGTTTTGTCTTATTAATCTACCATGCCTAACATGGATGATCAGTTTTTAAATAATAAAATCTGTTTTGAGCCAAATAAACTAATTCTCACAACTTGAAATTATATAAATCAAAACTCCAACTTGGCACGCAATTTCCCGATTTGTTTGAACACAACTTCCTTCCTTTCCCCCGTATTTCAGTATAATACTTATCTTCAAAAGTATGTGCTAATCAACGTCAAACACTCATAGCTCAAGATAATGTGTCAAGTCTATCTTGTCGATTTTTAGGTCCAACTCGACAGGTATATCAGAAAATTCTGTTTTTATAACCAATCTAACGTAATCGTGTGCATCATAATCTTTCCCATGAGATGTATCGGATTTCTTTTATCTTGTCCATCATATACATGCATCGAAACATTTAATTTTCTACGTCATGCCCGAAATGTTTTTCTGTCCTGGTATATTTGTAAAAATATTTTATATTTTATATGATCTATGTGTTTATTGGTTTAATATAAAATTAAAGTTCATATTAATGATTTAGATTATAATATAAAAGACGATACCATGATGTATCGATTTCGATTAAAAAAATAGAACATAAGTGTATTAATAATCCTCCTCCCTTACCTTGTTTAATTATAAATGAATTCTTCTATAATGGTTATATACATATGTGTTATAGTTGTGCTTCAATATATTAATCACACATAAAATAGAGTTTATGTTTCTAAGAGTATAAAGGAAAAAGTATGATTAATGGAAAGTCACAACAACACATATATATAGTCACGTTTGGTGGTGGTCACTTATTAAGAGAAAAAACAAGAAAAACTATGTGTATCTTGGTAATAAAATTATTACGCAAGAAACGTATTAGCCACCGTAAAGAAACAAACGTTACTAGAAGAGTTTGGATTACTTTATTCATCAAAAGGAATCATAAAGGATTGAAGACCAAAGGGAGGAGAAAATCAATTGGTGAATTGATTCCAATAATAATCCAAATTAAGCATGGATTAAGGTTAGTGTATCTTTTTTCTTCTTAGAGAAATAGTTAGGGTTGAATTAAAACTAAATCTATATTAAGGTCTTGGGATAGATTTCATTATAGAAATCATAAAAATGTATGCTTACAATACTAATATATATTTGTCACACAAGCCTATTTTGGATCATAATAATCTTTATAATAATGTTCTAGGTCACCATGATAGCACTATGTGTTTGGTAATTCCTTGTGGTTTACTACAAATGCATAATATATATAGGAAAAGAACAATTTTATTGTTAGGAAGAATATTTATTTAACAACACTCTTTATTTCATAAAATTAATTGCCTTTTACAGTTGTTCATATGTAGCATTAAAATATCTTTTACAGTTGTTCGCATGATATTTTATTTTTATCAATAAAAAATCAGATGAGTATATACTCACATATACCACATGCAAATCTTTATTAAGGTCCACAATTTGAGAACTGCACGGTCATAACAAACCTATTATATTTTTGCAAACTTTAATTTTAGAATTATCAGATGAAAGTTTTACTAGGAATTTATATGTTTATATGTTAATTTTAGCTATGATTTTATAAACAGTTTTAAGGATGTACTCCATTCAATATAAAAACAAAAGGTACATCGTTTCAAAAAAAACCTCTGAACATCATTTGGCTAGAGGTATAAAAGTGGACTCGATCTGGATAGTAGTTGTAGCACGCAATTGCTAGCAATTAGCAGGATCTTATGCATAATGAATGGTGGTTATTTATGGATTGGTGTCTATAATTTATTGGTGGCAAGTCACATCTCTCTCTTCACAACTTTGGAATCTCCGTGACCTTTTTTGTAGCATGAATGGAAAATGACAGAGCCAAGTGACTTCAGCTGTGGATTCCAATAGATTCCGTCACGTGACAAACTCAAATTAGAAGACGTCTCTTCTCTTCCCTCTTTATTATGTCTCCCCCACTATCGTGGAATCTCGTTCTCTCATTCATGTTTGAAGACCCACATCTCCTCGTCTTTACTACTATGTGAGTTAACTGTAAAATTTTATGAAAAGATAACAATTTCACAACTACGGAATCATAGTAAATATTGAAAATATTCACGAGAGACTACATGAAAATGATTAGTGCAGCAACAATAGCTTATTAAACAAACATAGAGTTGTTTTCAATTGAATATACACTTCATCTATTCCTTAAAAAAAATTATTGATATTTTCATGCATATTACAAATATAATAAATGCTTAGAAAATCTATCATTCGATGGAGAGACTATGTTTTTGCTAGGAAAGCTCTTGTGTGACAAATATAGATTATGACACAAAGTATCATCATAACAAATAGGAACCAAACTTTTGAGCCCTTTGTTATAAAAAAAAAAACAAATAGGAACCAAAATGCATTTTGCCATCTATTAAACCACTGATAGAAGCCAAGTTTGACACACAGTTATTTTATTGTAGTTTTGTATCTAAAGTGACCTATTGATTTGATAATTTATTATACAGGCGGCGGTTCATAGAACTTGCGACAGGCGGGTTCTTTTAGTAAACCTAAAACGCATTCCGGCATTTTCCAAAACAAACATAAAAGAAGGGACCCAAAACGAAACCTCTGAAGGCTCCAAGTTTTTGAAGTCGCTTCTTAATATGTGACAAGCAAAAGAAAATACAAACAAGAAGTAAATTTAGAACCATAGGAGATGATAGCCCTATCTGACTTGACATAGATTCTTAAAGATTATCTTCTTCTTTGCTTACTTGTAGAGCAAGTTTTTAAAGACATTCGTTGCACCACATTCACGATGAGAGGATTGCTACTCAAGTTCTTGGTTCTCTGCGCACTTACGTCAGCACTTCATCCACCGGCGATGTTCTTCCCCATCAAGAGAGGTCCTCAGGAGAAGCCTAAGCTAGGTCCTCGTGGCAAGCTCTAATTAAGATTCATGCAATGTTTGTTTACCTTCTTTTCTCAATACTACAAACTCTTTTAAATGATTGTATGTATATATGTTTCTATGTTACATTAAAAACGTTTCTTCTTTCCCTATCTTTACAAAAGAGAGTATCTCCCTGCGGTTGGACTTTTTGTTGTTCCAAGAGATTCAAGATAAAAACTAGTCTTCTTGTTGATCATGCTTGACACTCTTGTCAACAGTTTCTTGCTTGAATCTTTGAATGGTGTTTCGTTTTTGTCTTTCTTCTGTTGCTCATAGTCTTCCATGTTCCATTGCATTACCTGTGACAATGAAATAGGAGCTTTATGCTTTTTAGGTCTCTCCTCCAAAAGACAAAAGTCTTTTTCTTCTTCCTTCTTAGGACTCTCTGTTTCCTTACAAACCGTGACTTCAGGTTCGTGTATTAGCTGATCAGCTTCAAGAACATCTTCTATTCTTGACAGTACCGTGTGAGCCAAGCTTTCAAGAACTCTTGAATAACTCTCCAATATAGCTAACCCTATATCCTGCAATTTTCAACATATTTTTTTTTAAGACAGAACACAAACAAGTAAATAATGTTTAATTTTATATAGTTTTTTTATTGATTGATTACTTTGTTGAATTGTATCTTGCTGATATCAAGTGTGGATTGAGAGATCCCTGGGTAAACTTGTTTGAGAAGAAACAAGATGGTTCCTGCTCTTTCTTCTAGTAGTTGTCTCTTCTCCATACTAAGAGTAATACTAAATGGAGATGAAGACTTGTTGTTGTCTTTCTGCACTATCTTTCTCTTCCATATCACAACCGAAGCTTCGATTTTGTTCTTTAGTTCTAGAATCTTGTGCTCAGATGATAAATCCATCTCAAGAAGAAACTGCTCTGCATCAAACATGTCTAGTGTTAACATTCTGTAGATTGTGTCTCCAAGACTAGCTCTCCCTTTCTGTATAGACAAAACAGTAAGAAGAAGAAAACATTGATGAATGATTCTTGATGATGTGATAGTAGTTTTCAGAGCAAAGTATTTAGGGTTTAGGGTTTATAAACCTTAGGAAGTGAGTCAATGTAGCTCTCAGGGATCTCCATTTGAGCCAAGACTTCAGCGTTTATGGCCATTGCATCTTCAAGAACTTGGCTCACACACTCCTTCTGATTCAGTAGAAACGTTTTAGACGTTTCAGATAAGCCTGTAGATGGAACTTTCACTGTGGGAAGCCACCATTTATCATCATTCCTGGTTGAGTTACTAGTTAAAGATTCAGGAGAATCATTTGTGATGTAATAAAACTCATCCTGATCCTTGAAACTATCAAGACAATCCTGCATAGTTTGTGAACCTTAAGACTTGTTGATGCAAATGCATGAAGGCTGAAGCAAATTCTAAGCACATGTGTGTTGACTTACAGTGAGCATCACATCGAGTTTCTTGAGAGCAGGGATGTTGGAGACAAGATCTGTTCTCTGTCTTGTAGTCATTACCTCAATTGAAGAACCGTCTTTGTTTATTTGTTGTGTTGGAGAGAACTCAACTATGTGATCAGTAACAGAGAGAAGCCATCCGATTTCTCTTCTCCACCGTTCTTTTCTATCTTCAGAGATTGGCTCTAAACGCCTTTGCTCTCCAAACGCAGACGCTGAAAGATTTGTGATTGCGTTTGATAATGCCAATGCTGATGACACACCTTCGCCTCCTCCTGACATGTCTTCTCCTAGAAGCAGTTTCGCAAACCTTTCTTTCATATGTTCCTTTTCTGTAACAAATGCATATAAATAAATCAGAAACCCTAACTTAATCCTCAAGAAACCTCAAGATAACTCTCTCATTAGTCTTAGCTTTCGACACACGCAACATCAACAGATAATAAGCCTAAAGAGATCTCATTAATCTAAGACAAAAATATGGTCTAATGAAATCTATAATCACAAACCTAACGTACTGCACAAGAAAATACAAATATTATCTCTCTTGCCTGCTTCTTCTTGTAACTCTTCGTCGGTTGCTTCAGACATCTGAGGGGTCTTGTCTTTAAACAGAGGCGGTAATATTGGCAGGACGCTTAAGGCTGGATTTTTCTTGAAAACAGTTTCATCATCAATGTCTGGATCTTCAACTCTCAAGGCATAATCAGAGTTCCATTTCTTGACTTGTGGGGAATAAGAGTTTTGATCCTTCATGGTCTCGATATAGAACATTCTGGACTTATTGCTTTCTTCTTCTTGCTCACCAGCTCTCACTCTTTCCATGATTTTCTTAAATCTAAGGAGAGGTTCTCTGTTTTTAAATCTCTCTGTTTTTTATTCTTGAATCAAAGAGGAGTTCTTAGGTGGGAGAGACAGAAATCAAGAAAGACAAGAACAAAACAGAAACAGTTGTTTGATGTTGTTGTAGAGAACAAACTCTTAAAACTAACGAAACCGTGTGGTAATAAAAATAATATACTCAAGTGCATGGCAAATCCAAAATAGCATCTTAATTTTGACTTTTGTTTGATGCTTTCTTTTCTCTGTTGTACCTCATTAAAATTACTAATTAATAACCGATTTGGTGTCCGGAAATTCCATCAGTGGATAGGATATATCATTGACAGTTATATAAACAAATTTAAGGATTGAAGTTTTTATTTTAAGAAGAAATGAACAAATTTCCTACCTATATTTTTAAGCTGGTGTGTTTTACATTTGGAAAGACAGAAATTCTAACAGTTTTTTAGATTACTAATTATAAGCTGTAAACACAAACGTAAATATTTATTCACTTATCGTGTATTATTTTCAAGTTGTTGTTTATAGTTAAGCTTTGCATATATATTGCGTAGTTTTATTTTATAAGTACCCATTTCAATTCAATTTTCGTAGTTATATGTTAAGTTATTTGAATATATCTCCTAACAAAAATTGAATATATTCAATTCAAGCAAACTCTAACTTTTTGCTTTTAGAACTTGTGCTTAATCAGAAACTTCAACCAAAGCCGGAAGATTACTTACTACTTACTACTTTCATTTGTCTCCACTATTTATGTTTAAACTATATTTTGGTTTGTTGTTGTCAAGTTTTGGTTGATACTAACTCAGTTGGTCGAGCATAATCAAAAATAAAAAAAATTCATGTAACATCATGCTCCTAGAGGTTTCATATGCTTTCAATGCATAACTTTGTTGTTCACCTTCAATTCTTCAAACCATAGAGGCATATACCATATAGCTCTACCCACAAGTGCCACAGTGAAACTACTGGGGCTAAATCAGCCAATTACCAATTCAATCAATTCAACAATTCACATCTTCATGATCAAAGTGACAATATTCAAAGCTTGCAAAACTGTAAGCTTCTTCTGGGGTTATTGGATTGTGTAGACAGATTCTCCAATCACATCTGTGAGATGTCTGAGCATTTTAGACTAAAATGTTAACAGTTTAGTACCAAAGTTTGATATTTATCATACTATATTTCTATTTTGGTTTACCTTTTTCACCACATTTAAAACTAATTTAATTTTTGAAAAAACGGTAAGAAAGAGTATAATATATTTCCTCTATGAAACATATTTAATACGTAATGAAACATCAAATTTTATCATTCATTTTGTTGCCATTCAAAGTTAAGACTAGTAATTTATCATACTGGAGCTTGATGCATCCATAGAAGTGATAAAACATATTTTTAGAACAGCCTGTTCTCAGTTGTAGGATAGTAACACTAATATATTTCTTGCTTGTTGGTTTTAATATCAGATCATTATGTTTTTTTTTGGAGTAAGTGTTTATAGTCTTATTTTTTTTACACAAGAAAATTACCACAACTCTTTGAAACTAAAAACAACTAGAATTTGCAATTCAAAATCAATCGATTAAGAGAGTACAGCTTACAAATTACAATCAATCTGAAATCATATGCAATTGAATCAAAGTGGGGGAATAAACACAATGACAACAGTGGTAAATTGCAGAACCAACAGTAGTCTTCCAAGTGGCGTTTACTTTCCATAACTAAGAACATTGATTATCTACTCTGCTCCAACAAACCTAGCTATTATTTTGAGTAATTCAAAATGCTACAAAAGCCTTACTTGAAGTTAGGATTCTTTCTGGCTGACTGATATAGGTCAACAGGATAATAGTGATGCTTTCTTGCAAATTCTTATGTGAACTTTTCAAAATTTTGAAAGTTGCAATTCCCATTGTTATGTTAGTAACAAGCATGCAATTACAACTGAAAACGGATGCACAATTTGATTTTGTCATTTAAGCAGCTGCTTTCTTCATATTCATTTTAAATTAACTACAATTAGAGAGAGAGAGAGAGAGAGAGAGAGAGAGAGAGAGAGAGAGAGAGAGAGAGAGAGAGAGAGAGAGAGAGAGAGAGAGCTCAGTTTGTAGTTTAGTTTTACATGTTGTGTAGTTGTATTTTATAAGTACCCATTTCAATTCAGTTTCATGGTTGTATGCTAAGTTATTTTAATATTTCCTAATTGTTTGCTTTTAAAACTCTAACTTTTTGCTTTAGAAAAATGATTAATCTTAAACTTCACTTTTTATGTTTAAACTCTGTTGGTTTGTTGCTCTCAAATTTTAGTTGATGATAACCCAGTGGTCAGAGCAAAAAAAATAAAAACATTCCATATAACACCATGCTCCTCGAGGTTTCATATGTTTTCATTGCATGTTGTGCAGTTGTATTTTATAAGTACCCATTTCATTTCAGTTTCATGGTTGTATGCTAAGTTATTTTAATATATTTCCTAAATGTTTGCTTTTAAATCTCTATATTTTTGCTTTAGAAAAGTTATTAATCTTAAACTGATTAAACTTCAACCAAAGCTGAAAGATTACTTACTACTCGTATTGTGTCCACTTTTTATGTTTAAACTCTATTGGTTTGTTGCTCTCAAATTTTAGTTGATAATAACCCAGTCAAAATAAAAAATAAAAACATTCCATATAACACCATGCTCCTCGAGGTTTCATATGTTTTCATTGAATCAATCATATTTAACAGCATCATTAATCTCAGAGAAAATTAAAAATAAAAGCATTACAATTTATCCCAAGCTCCTAGGGGTTTGATATCCATCCATTGCACAACTCTGTTCCCCACTTTCAAAACTTTGGAACATTTAGAGCTGCCCACAATTGCGACTGTGAAGTTAGCTGGATCAAAACAACTGATCACAGATTCCACCAATCCACCAATTGCAACGGTGAAGTTAGCTATACGAACCCCGCATGAATTTCACACCATAGCTTCTTGTTTACAGTGATGGAGAATCAAAGGGATTTCTTGGAGTAGTTTAGTATTTCCACAGGTCTTGATCAAACACGATCGTCAGAGACAAACAAATTTGACGCCGACAGAAGATATGTATCGACGGAATGAGAAAGCTAATAGTCTTCAATCTTGCAGTCCACAAGCTGCAAGATAATGTTCCATAGATCTTCCCTCAAGGTGGAATGCAGTGACTCTCCCATAGAATTCTTGAACACAATCTCTAATCTCTTTTCTACACTTTCAAAACCGGAAGTCGTCATCTCGCCTGAAGATCTTGAGAAAGAAATCTTGTTCTTACTGTCGGAGTTTGATGAGGAAGTAGAAAGTTCGTCGAGTTTACGGTGGTTAGTGTTTTGGTTTATTCATCTAGGTTTTAGAACTGATTTATAGAGATTAGATTTGATGCCCAAATCTACTTGTGTTGTCTGATCAGATACACCTGTCTAAACAGATGTTCGAGACTGTCAGAGCAAAATTTTGACCGTTAGATGAAAGGGTGGATACTGAAATTATCTATTTAATTCACGACCGATAGATGAAAGAGTTGATACTAAATTATATATGTACTATAAATTTAAGAATCCACTAATTTTTGACCCGCGCGCCCGCGCGGGTGTATGTTCTGTATAAATATATGTTTCTATTAGTTGTATAAAAATATCCATATTTATATTTTATAGGTTATCGAATTCTGATGTCGGTGTATCTTATTTATTTTGTTTAGTTTTCTTAGCTATCATGTTGTATTTTTTTTTTTTTGAAATTGTACAATTTTGTTTACTTGGTAAACTAAACAATTAAGTGTAAAATGTTAGAGTATCTTGTTTAGATTGGGTGTGTTTTAATAAATTATACTATAAATTTTTTGATTGAAATTAAAGTTTTTAATTTTATTTTATAGATACATCCGCGCCCGCGCAGTGTATTTTCACAACAATATTATTGTTTCAGGTTCATAGTTTAGTTTATTGTTCCGTCCGTATACTTTAATTTGTTATTGTATTGTGTTATATATTTTTCTGAATATGTGTTGGATAAGTTAAATCATAGTATTTATTTTCAAATTCTAAGTATGTATTAATATATTGTGTCAACATAATTTTTTTCTTTTAAAATATTGTATCAATTAAAAATTGGATCTATTTATTTTATTGTATGCTGTTATTTTCAATCACAAAAACTAAATCATGTATAAATTTTTACAAAAAGGTAAAGTATATATAATTTTTTCTTTTATATGTAATCAACCCCATTGATCCATCACATGTTATAACTGTTTAATTTGGGCCCATAGAGATTACATGTTTTCTCATGCACAGCTAGTTTAAGTTCCAATTTGCAAACATATTTAATCTGATTCAGGGAAATAATCATGGATGGGGTCCAAACTCTAAGTCCATACTATATTTCGAAATTAAAGCCAGGCTGAAGTGTTGTTGGGCCTGAAATTCTGGTTTGATCCATCACCTGTTGTAACAGTTTATTTCCGGGAAAAGCTAACAAAAACGTGTATCCAAAACGTAACTACTTTATTGGTTTCTTTTCACTTTTCTGTCGGTCAGATTATCTATCTCTCTTATCTCTGCTTTGATATTCATCTACAGAAAAAAAAATTGAAGAATCTAGTAACCACTGAAAGCTACGATTATATCAACTTCATCGAGTCAATTATATGTTTAGTCAATCGATGTACTTTATCAAAGGTTAGACATGAATTTTTTTGTTTGATTCAGTTTAAACGATTGCTTTTTTTTTTCAAGCCTTAAAGCTATTTTAAAACTTAGGTCGTTTAGATGAACAGATTTTCTTTGCATGTCTTTCAATTTTACAGTTTTGATATTATATGTATAATCGTACTCTTATTTTTTAAATCGGGATAAAAATAGTTTAATTCTGTGTTTAAGAATCACAGAAATACTTAATTCGAAGATTGATGATACATATTGTGGTTTACAAATATTGGTGCTGAGATAAAATTATAAACAGAGGAGAAAAATCATAATAGAAGAACTGACAGACAAAGCATCAATGGTGGAAGAGAT